GATACTCTTTGATTAGAGATATCAGTGAGATCTGTGGCTTGAGGAATTTCAAGTACTTTGTGGGAAAGGTAACCTCAATAGGTAGATCCTCAATGGCCATCAATTTCAAGGGATGTTTACTGTCATGACTAACTTTAGAGCCAGAAAGCTCCATTTAAGTTATTTTGATTGAAAAATAGAAACAGCTTGGAAAGAGAAATTTCTGATAGAGAATGAAAAATCAGAAAATGAGATACAGGAACATTAAGAGTCAATGACTGAATGCCTTAAGCCTTTTATTTATGGCTGTTCATTTTTTTTTTTCTAACTGTACTATCAAAATCTCAATACATTGAGGACAACACAACAATTCCATAATTTCATGGGCATTATATATGAACATAAATATACTAGATATAATACAACGTCCACAACACCCACTGAGGACATTGGTATTTTGTTGATCCTAGCCATAAATGACCCGCTGAGTGACTCCGAGACTGTCAATCCAGGGCCTCTCATCTACAGTCATTCATGGCCAAAGTGGTGTATTGCAGTGATCCAGGCACCACTAAACCAACAGGATCTTCTCCTTCCCTTCACACGTCACCACACAACTGAATGTTCAGATATCAGAAAAGGTAAACTGTAGAGGCAAAATCTTACTTGGGAGGTCCCCTCACTGTTTACATGAATCAATATCAAAGGGGCTATTAAAAGAAAATCCAGAACTCTTCCACTTCCATGGTAAGAATATAATCTATATTATACATCACTTGGTCAATACAATAGTACAGCAAATAAAACTACCACTAATTCTATTCACTCTCTGCAAATGGGTGAAGAAAATAGTGTATTCTATTCTATAATAATAATCACTTATCCAATATTAAAAATCAAGAAGTTCATGTCACTAATTATCATTATTGTCACACTTTACATGCTTGTCTAGTATTTCAAATAAGATCCAAAATACAACAGAACAGGTATTATGAATTATGGTTAAGGTAGTTTTGTATGTACATGCAAGTCTGATATTTATTACTATAATTTAACTTTTTTTCTCTAATTTACTTTTATCTACCACCTGTTAAATGGCCTGCTTTTCTGACTTTTGGACTACTTAATTTTACATATAACTGGTTAAAATAGTGGTGGAAATTTTAAGCTGGACTGGCCAGCAATTTCACAATTATGTACACCACATTTGAAATCCAATTACTATGAAAATAAGTGTTTTTTTAAATTAAACTAGGAACCAGAAAAGCAATGTTTAATTACACAGGCCTGCAAATTTAAACTTCATAAAAGTTGTTTTCATTTTAATAATACATTTTCCATAATTCAGCTATGCAAATTTTGAAAATATTCATTTTTTTCTATCAAGTGAGACTTTTTTACAAATTGGGAAGAAAAAAAACTTACTTAGATCAAATTTACCACAAGTATAACAGAATATGCTTGGGTTATTTACAGAACCTTTTATTGCCATAACAATGAATACATAATTTTGAAAAGAAAAAATAATGTTGAAGTGTATGCACAAATAAATACTATTCAGAAATGACACGTCATGCAGCCTGTTAACTGTTTATACACTAGTGGTGTGCTTCTTGTAAGTTATCGAGAATGATCATTAAGACTCTCATATCGCAATTGGTCTATAGAAATCTATAACCAATGGTTGTCAACATTTTATCCATAACAAATTGTGACCCAATTTCAATGAAAATTATTCTTCTATGTAAAAGTAGATATGATGTTTTGTGAAAAATTTGTGCATGATGGAGAAAAATTAATATCACTTTTGGATTCAGCGTACATGAATTACTGTAGCACATGTAAAAATTTCAAGACAATAAAACCACCGCAGCCCTGTGTTATTTATTCTGCACTGAATGGCTCAAAATAACAGATAACTTGATAATATTACCCATTATTGGTTTTGAAACTCCCTCAAATCCAAAGATGGCAGCATATATTATAAATTACAAGCTATTCAACTAGTTGAAATCATGGGTAAGTCCTCAAAGGCACCAACCAAAAAATAAAACTAAGACAATGTTTGATACATGTACGAGTTTCAAAAAAAAGGATTTTCCAAGATTTTTTTTTACCTTTTTGACAATTTTTTCATGAAATTGTACTAATCTCAAGAAATAAACTTCCTAAACTTTGTGTAAAAATATTCTTGCGATCTCAAGAGGGCACAATGAAGGACTACATGTGAGATTAGAGATTCCAGACATACCAAGTCTCACACATTTGATGGGTATCAACCACGTTAGTCCTATCTCCTGCATACTTTATTCCCAGTTATTCAAAATTGGAGCCAAATTAAGCTTTCTTAGCCACAGTTCTTTTGCAGAATTCCTTTTTGTTCCTCCAATAAATCCCATTGATGTATGAAGGCTACTTATGGCAGAATGATAGACAGATAAATTGAGGCATATTTTAGTTCCTTTTTTGACAGGAAGATAATAAACAGTGATTAATTATTATATTTCATAACTTTATTATTCAGCTCGGTAATGATGTTTCTTTCTTCATATAAATGAATATATTTCCAATTTTTTTTATACCACAAATACATTTATCGGATGAGTTTGGGAATAACAGTAACAGTGTAAAGTGAACTACGAAAATTATGTTATGTAATGATCAAATCCTCTTGTGTCAATGAAGACTTTTCCCATACAGTTTTATGTTACTAAAGGAAATGAAAAAATATATTGCATTACACGTATGTGTCACCACTGTTACACTTGAAAATGATTTCTTCAAAATTACATTATGTAATGAACAATTGATGTCAAATTGTTTTGTATGAAGATTTTTCCCATACGGTTTCATGTTAATAAAGGAAAGGTAAAAAATATATTGCATTACATGTATGTGTCAACTGTTACACTTGAAAATGATTTCTTTAGACGATTCAAAACAGTTACTCAAGATGGGAGTGAAGCATAAACACCTAAACAGGTGCTATTCATTTGAAGACATGACTTCTCTCCACTAGCAGCAAGTCTGTTCTTCAATTTATGGTCTCTTATGATAGCATAAGAAACTTTCCACTGCCCCACACTTTGCAGGGGAATGTTCACTATTAGTTATAATTTTAAAATGTGTTAAATAAAAAATTCTCACAAGAACTTTATAATTTCATGGGTCTACTAAGTACACTTCTGTTTTTACAAAGAATCATTCTGGGCAATATTTTGAATCACCTTGTTCCAGAATGCCTGAAAAAGTAACTTCAGATCTGCTTAAGTTCAAGTTAATGTTTCACTTTAACAAGAAATGTCACAACTAAACACAGATATAATAAGACTTTTGTGATATATAATGAAGCTGTGTGATGAAAGCATTATCTCAGTCATATTTGTTTAAGAAATATATTCCTTATATTCATTAATCTTCAAGGTTTATTATTTGCATATCATGTAGCACATAAAAATAAAAGTAAGATTTAGATTTCATATGTTTAAAAACTTATCACAACGTTTTGACCTTCAAACATTTTCTATTAAGAAAGCAGTTTCCTAGATGATATCTGTCCAAACAATAATTAGATTTAGTGTTTTCCACCAATTCTTTAACTCATCTCTTTAATAATCAACTTTTAATAAAATTGGGGAAGTTGTAGTCTACATTCAGTAGGGTTTATTGAATTGCTGCCTCCATTTATGAGATAAATTTTTACAACATTGTATACATACAGATATATGCAGACACTATATAAAAACTAAATACTAGTTTCAGTTTACTGTAAGTTACATGCAGTATATACAGTCAAAAACAACATTAGAATTTATTTACGAACGAAATGCATATTTTTCCCAATTTTTCAAGGCTTTACAAGTGTTTTCCCAAATCTCTCATTCACCCATGTAAATTTTCAAGACAGAATTAAGTTGCATGTTTACAAACATGTACAACAATAACAAACAACATTTCAAAAACCATACTGAGGATCATCAAGTTAAAAGTAGACACTTGCAATTAGTATGTTAATGTAACTAGCATTACTAGGAGTTGGTTAAATAAAGATTATAAACATGTTACTGGTACTAGGAATATATATACAAGGAAATGATGCTGTTACTGCCAAAAGAAGAAACCACTTTCTGACTTGGCAAGCATGTTTTCTTCAAATAATAGTGAACAATATTTAGAGTTAGTAGAAAATTGTTTTCTCACCTAGTATTTAAAATATCCTACCACAAGTGGGGAAGTTTTGATGAATGGTACCTACTTTACATATTTTAAAATATAATGTATTAAGTTTCTATGATTGATGTGCTAGTATTACTAGAATAAGGAAAGTATCAAACTATAAATGAATGTGTTAACGAATATTTTTGAAATAACAGTCAAATTATTACTCTTCTGACAAAATAAATAATTATACAGGAACAAGATTTAAGTTAAATGTCAAATGAAGTTTGTAAACTAAAACCTATACAACTTCAATTATCAATCTGAACGTAAATTTGATTTTGAATCATTCTCGATATCCTCCAATTACTACTATATATATATATATATATATATATTACTATCACATAATATTTAGTTAATACTGTATTAGGTCTGAACGTAAAAGATACTTTTCGTAACTCAGACCGAGTCAAACTGCCAAAACTGGTGTGGGTCGTACGTTGCACTTGGAGTACTAGTACTAGTAGTGTCATACTAATGTAATAGTATTAGTAATATAAGATGGTTTATCAGCTGAAGTGTAGTAATAGCTATACTATTTAACTAAAAATACAATAATAATAATAGCTCAGACAGCAGACATAACACAACGCTTTATTGCGAACGTTAAGTCCTCATTTATTTAGGCCTAGCTACAGGCCTAGACAACTAAAACTACTCGTCCGTCACTTCATCCAACACCTACTATTTGCATTACCCGTATGAAGCTAAAAGATTCCGATAGCTGTACCACTTCTAGATGCTAAGCCTAACTCAGATTCTTTCGTGGAAAATGTAACACCTAATTTTTAACAACTTACCTCATCAATTAACTGAGATATTACCATAATGCCTTTGATAAATTTTTTAAATAATATAATCAGTCTTAAATTTCACCATAAGTGTCAAATAACCTCTAACTTCCTCATGACCGGTTCTTGTTTCCCGGTCGCACGGCTCACACGATAACTAGGCTACATGTACTTTCATGAATGTCACCAGAGGGCAAAAAAAAACAGGAACCTACTGTCATGAAAACGATAATGTAAACATCTAAGATGGTTATTTTGGGATAGAATTAAATTTGAATTATTTATGTCTCCCAGTGGGTCAGCGGTAAGTTTACGGACTTACAACGCTAAAATCCAGGGTCTGGTTCCCCCTTGGTAGCAGATCGGAGATAGCCTACTGTGTGGCTTTACGCTAAAACATTGTTTATATTTTTAGGTGTGTGTGTTTTTCATAGCATAGCCACTTTGGGCTATCTGCTGTGTCCATCGAGGGGAGTCGAACTCCTGATTTTAGCGTTGTAAATCTACAGATTTACCGATGTTCCACCGGGAGACATGATTTTAGGCTTCTTGTGTTACAAATACTTCTCTTAAATGTTAAGTGATTTTTAATTCATTAGATTAACTAATTGTTCTCGATGCCCCATATAGTGAACGTATTGTTACGTCTCCGTTTGTTAATTGATTTTTCCGTGACTTCGTTCCGACGAAACTTTAGCGACACAAGTCCTTACTTAATAAAACTGGTTTATTCTTTCTGAATATAACTTAACCGATACACTTATTTCAACATTCGCGCTAAAACAAACACTATAACGAACGAACGTTAACTTCAACAATACCCTGTGACTACAGTTCAATTACTCACTACCTACACACACAATAATGTTCCGTCACGTTGTCACCCTCTTATATATACCAGACTACCCTATATCTAGTAATCTCCCGACAATTCACGAAGGTACAAGATATTTCCAGAAACCAGGGGGCGTGACACTAGTCACGTGACCTCGCTGACGCAACACCGCCCTCCTCCTTAATATTGTTCGTCCCGAACAATAACCACATATAATAAACCAATAACAATTAACAATAACTTAATTAAATGTACAGAATTACAATCACAAAATTACAATTTAACAAAGTCTCTTAATTTTACGGGACGTATCTTCTTCCGTACTGATCTCCATCTCGTTGGCTTCTGCTTCATATGGGGTTCATCTGCTTCATCAGTAAATGTCCTATCATCCGTAACAGTCATATCAGTGGTAGTAACTTCATCAAGAGCTTCATCGTTTCCCTTCTCAAAACTGAGTAGAGTTTCTTCTTTGACGGTGGCTTCTTCAGGTGGCACGTCTTCAGCAGCGTCATTTGTTCCTTTGTTCACTTCGTCCCAACTGAAATGTCCTGGACCGTGATAACGCCAAAGCCTGTTGGCATGCACCACTATTGTTGTACCTCGCCGACCACATTTTATTCGGAAAGTCACGTCTGAGAGACGATCCACTATGTCATGTGGGCCTTCCCATGGAGAAGACAACTTAGGAGACTTCCCTTTGGTCTTCCTGGGATTATACAACCACACCTTGGCTCCTGGTTCAAAGCAGACTTCACTAGATCTCTTATCATAAGTTAACTTCATCGAATCAGCAGACGTTTTCAAGTTTGAACGCGCTTGATGGTGAATATCAACCATCCTTTCCTATAAC